CTGTAGGACTGGACGAAGTTATTCTTTACGATTTTACTTTTAGCTATTTTGAGCCCGAAAACGTCGTCAAAAAGCAAAGTGACAACAGGGGTTCTTTTTATTACAACTAGTGAACAAATGAAAGAAAGTTTTCTTTCCACTTACATGGCAAACATGTTCTTTGTCAAGTAATGATCCCGTTGCTCAAGTTGAGTGAAATCAACAAGTTCAGTACATTATTTTTGTGACATGTTGGTTAGCAGGTATTAATAAAGCAGAACTTGGCTTGGTGATATTATCGCATTAGATATTTAAAGTTTTAAATATCTAATGCGATAACAGTGAGTGATAAATAAGTTAAAATAGATTTGTATTGGGGGGATTGTTTTGCATTAAACTAACCAAATTGTTTATTTATTGTCAAGTATTTATTTCAACGGCAAAATATGTCATGCACATTTTCAGAGTAGATATATTAAATATTAGACTTTACTGTTTCGTAATATCACATTAATACACACAAACATCTCGAAATTGCCAATTAACATACAGTTATTACACAAACGTTCAGCGTCAAAGGCAGCATAGTTAAAGGTGCAGCTAATTACGTAGAATTTACCAAATACCAGTTATTGCTAAACAACCTTGTCGAGTAGATTTAACAGTCTTTATGCCGAGTGATACTGTATATATATATTTACACAGAATACCGACAGTACAGATCACTCGATATTCTCTGTATGAATAAAATAAATAAATAAGCTTTTTTCCTTTTACATTGCCGCTATGTTCCTAAATCTAAATGTTCTTTTTATAAATCAAATATGCATATTCATTTTTAAGCTATTTGGGGTTCGACAGACTATGTTATGGTAGAAATTTGTCTGATTCCATTGTTTCCTAACATCTGTTACGTGTCGACTCTGTCCTATCCCCGTGGCGTATCAGCAACTAATAAGCTCTATTTTCTGGAGGTGGCTTAGTCAATACGAAATATTACTTATTTTGCTCAAACGAACTTGCCGTTTTCAGGCGCTACTCAGGTATAACCTTGAATAGAACCATTCCACTATGGCAGCAAAGCCGTTGCATTCGGCGGAAACCACTCGGCGGCGACAAGAGAGAGCATAAATAATTGTTGGCTTTTCACTTGTTTCCATTCCCATGTCGGTGTTGCCTTAGCTGAGTCACAAATCACTCACTCTGTAATGCGATCCTGCGCAAAACCAAGGCATATTATGGAATAGTGTAGTTGTGTTCAGGCTACGTTGTAATTGAAGCTGTTGTGAAGCGCAACGCTAGATTGTTAACAATATGAAAGTTGCACCCGAAGTTTTAATTACCGATCTACGACCAACCGTTTTAAGAAACAACCGCTGCCACAAAGATGACCCCGGCAGGGTATGAGCATGATTATATACAAAATTTTGCTGGCCACAGATAGCTGTCACACTTAAAAGCAGGCATATGGAAAGAAATTTACACTACTGTGCCGTTTAGATTCGATTACGGAGATTCGTCGGACGTACTAATCAAGCGCCTGTTTGTGATCTTTAGTGAGCCCGCCTGCCGAGCATCGACAGAGTCCTATACTGTCTATACGCTAGCCATTGCTATGCAGTGCAATATTCATCTGCATACTTATCAAGCGCGTAAGTAAACACGCCGCATACTTTATGTAAATATAACGTCTACTGTATTAGCCAATGTAAGCGAGTTATAAGCTGAAATTTCGTTTACTTTAGATTTGCATAAATGTCAAGTACTTACAAGTGTCGTTGGAGTACGTGGTACGGTGAAATGGAAATAGAAGTATGTGTACCAAAGTTTTCTATTCTTGCACTTATAAAAGCACCACTGCATCTGCGAGGGCACGATTTTTATAGCTCTATATATATATATATATATATATATATATACGTTATATATTACGTTTCTATTCGAACGAGATACAAACAGGCAAATAGATTTTACTAAGAAAATTTTTCGTTTATGAATTCATTCCAACCCGTATCGAAAAGCAATATCAGTTACGACTGACATCAGCTCAATTAATGCTTGCTAACTGGTAATATATGTTTACATACTTTATATGTGGATGTAACGATTAACTTCCTAAACGAAAAACAAGAAAATAAGAAAATATAATTTTCAGAGACATTTGAATAGAAAGTTATTTTCTGTTACTTAAATTAGCGGTGTGGCTATGTTAATGAAATAGCCAAGTGACGATGGAGTTATCAAAAATTGCTAGAACGTCGTTCTAGCAATTTTTGTGGCAAGGATTTAGTGAAGAGAAATACACTATAATCATGCGAAACAAATATTACATTGTGGCAGACATTTATCTGTGTTCGACGATTTTGGATTAGTGCCGGATGATCTTGCATTCCTAAAGTACAACCCTTGCACTTTGAAGTTATATACTATTTAGTGCAAGCATGTTTCACGTATAGAGACAACGTAACAGGAGCCATTTATTTACGTATACACATAATTCATCACCCTTACTGCTCTACGAACGTTTGTTTGCTTACTACGAGTGTTTTCCACGAACACGCTCATATAGTGAATGAAGAAATTGTCAGCTAGGTGAAGTCACATGCTTACAATAAGATCTAGGCAGCACTCCATGGTGGCCACTTCTTTTATCAAAACAGGTCTGATCTCTTGGAGTAATCTGTTTCACCGATACTTCTAATAATTTTCTAACCATTTATTAAGCTTCCCGAATTATAATATTGTCTGCTTACTATGAGGGCAACAGGTAAAGAAAAAAAATTGCCAGTAAGACGGGTTGTCTGTAGTAAGCCTGTCTACCGTTATACAGACTTCTTAGTTGTCTTACCATTGTTGTCCTTCGACAGGGAATTGAAGAATCAAACCTTCAAGGTCAGTAGCAAAACTCAGCATAGTCCGGGTTTTGCGCAAGTTAGCTTGAGTGGAAAAATTCGAAGAACTGAAATACATTGAAATAAAGAGTTCAGTGTAGGTAACAGTATGTTCTGAGGAAGGCTAATGAACCGTAACAATGCTAAATGCAATTGAAGAACTAACATAAAATTGCAAGAAAGCAATTTTAGTAAATGGTTGTTTATATAATGATGTAGGGATATACGCATATATATGCACCCGAAAGTATTGCGAGACTAAAAAGACCGACGTGTAATACTTTTCAATCTGAAGAATGAAATTCAATTACTGAAAAACGACGGCCGTAACCTAAGTTCTAGCTGAATCGACGTGAGTTCAGAATTTTTTATTTTTAGAGTAAATCTAACTAGCCGCAGTATTCGACAATTCGTTTTAGATATAAATATATTCTCCTACTTTAAGCACGACTTAAACAACTTAGATTTTAAAACGTGTTAAAGAAGAAGATGGGATGTGACGAAGGGAATTCAATCTTATTCATTTATGCAATTTGCGCAATATATAAAACTAGTGACTCATACAAAAAAAGCAGCCAAAGAAATTATTTTCTTTTGGCGCATCCAAAGGATTCCTTTTTATCATCCTTTTCTATCCATGCACGGGACCGGCTTTTCTTCGACTGGCTGTTCTTCGACTGGCACACTTACCTATAAATTGACCCTGCGCACTACAGCACACACCAAGTAGGCAGACTCTGCTGACAGCTCGACCTTAGATACATTCCGATTCACCCGGTAGTCGCGTGCAAGGATCGCGAGAACCGTAAATCAGGCGGCAACGGTACGGCTACGTATGATTCTTTGATGCACCCCAGCAACGCCTGGAACTGAAATAGAGATACGGCACACTCCATTAGAGACTGCTTCTTCCGAGTGGAAGTGAACAGCCTTCAAACTCACGCATATACTCCTGTCTAAGGTGGGGCCGTTTGTGAAAACCGCTAGAAGGGGGCAACATTGAGCTTATCCCTGTATCGCCTTGCTGCCCGCAGTGGATTCGAACCGGGACTGAGCTAGACCTAAAAGAAAAATCCATAAACAACTCCAAACATATTTTTATACGATCAGTAATAGACACCGTATGCTGTCTCTAAAACTCTATTCGATCGTTCATACCTCCAACACTAAAAGAAAAAAGTTTGAAAAACAGAAGAAAAAGCAGTTTTGGCGCCTTTCACATTCGCTGTCAAAGGCTCCACAAAAGACTGTAGCCTTGCAGCTTGGTCGACCACTTAGCACATTCTCCTGAGAAGTCGCTTTCGCTCATTTCCCGTTGCAATGATGACGCACTAGTCACAGAATGAATGTATACTCAATCTGCATTTCGTCCTTATGTAGCAACAGCAAGAGGGAATACATACTAATGTATATATTCTCCTTTTTCACTGTGGTCATATTCTTCATAGATGTACTTAACATGACCTTCAGAGGTTCTTTTTTGACATCTTGCTACAAGGCATCTTCTACTATTATATCAAACGCGACAGCTCATATGAATCAGCACCATAACCATGCTTGAATGAAAGAAAAGCAACAATGTACCATATTTGTACTTCTAAGTTATCAATAATATTTAAATAATATTGAGATGTCTTTTGTGAACGGAAGCAGCTCCTAGTTTATTTGGTACTCGCTTAACTCCTGAAATTTACATGTGCGTTTCCAATACATGTAGACATTCTAGAGATAGGTAGACTATACCTAATAGTGCTTATATTGCTTCACAGGGCTGTTATAAGCGTTGCTGACAAACGCTAATTGTTGTGGTCTATGTGCGATGCCCCTCTGTTGATCCTTTTTATTTTTAGGCAATACAGTCTTAGACTATAAACTGCTACCCTGAATTCCTTTAGACAACGTCTCATAATGTATATCGTTCGTTTATGTAAATTCTAATATTATCTGACTATATAATTATTAAGAAGGAAACCAATTATAAAATTAAATGCTCTGTTTATATTAAATTATCGCTCTTTGTGATCATATAACCGGGCTACGTAACAGAAAATAGTGTTTAGAATATTATCATTTTTCAAAAATAAAGCTTATATCTTATTTATAATAGTGAGGTGCTTTGATTGATTTCAGAGTTAAGCATTCGCAAACTCGGCAATGAAGATAGTCTGTTGCGCACGTCGCTTCGACGTCGCCGAGACTCAAATTCGATATCTTCAGTGGCGTCTTTGGCAGTACCAAAAATCACTGTTAGTGATCATTCGAAGAAGCGATCGTCCATGTCATCATTTACTGCTTCGGTACCATCTTCCAAAGCACCCATCATGTTATCCTCTAGCTTTAGCTTTACAGAGACGGGTATTGGAATGAAAACAGCAGACAAGACAGGCAATCATTTGAAAGATATTACAGCCGCTAATGTCAGCAGCGCGGACCCGCATAGCGGCGAGCAAGTGAAATTAGTGAGTGCCTAGGCGAAAAAAATTCCAACACCTTTAGAAATAGATTGAGATGCCGAACTTCAGCGTTTCTACATTATATATTCTGCTTTAGTAGCGATCAGCAGCACCTGGCACAAATATCGCTAAGTTGTCATCTTACGACAAGCGAAAATAACAGGAACCTTTGCTAAAAGAACGTATGTAATAAATATGTAATGCATATGATACAGTTATTTAGGTAACGCTAGCAGTTACCACGCTAGCAGTTACGCTAGCAGCGGTTTGATAGCACTTGACTAGAGTAATTTATTAATGATACTTCGATGATCTGGTTTTCGATTTTAGCTTTGGAAGTTAAGTAAACTGGCTAAAAGATGGTACTGCCAGTTGAAAGAAGATTTTTCGGAGATGCGACCCTTCGAGATCGAAGATAAGCCATTATTCGAAGTCGACGAATTTTCTATAAAAAAGTAAGTTCTCGAACGGAATTGTTTGTGAATAAGCTACAGGAGAGGTCGCAAAATTATAATTGGTTAACTAAAGTCGTGAATTACCTGTTTTGAACAACCTATTTCTGAGACCGTGAATCATAGCTGTAAGAGACAATTTGCCCTGAAAAGTCTTCGAGAGACAAGAAAGTCGACAAAACTTCGATACAATGAAGTGGTTTTGGTTCAGCGCATGCAAATTTCGAAACATTTATCCAGGTAATAACTTACGAACCATATTCAGCTTTATGTGGAATTTGAGATTCACAAATCTATTTTAAAATGTAGCATAGACAATGATAGGCTTATTGTTTAAATCGGAATGTCGCCTAAAAATGTTAAAGTCAGTAGTTTTATCTGTCTAGATGGGGTTGTCAAAGAACTATTTACAGTTTCTAAGCCCAGACTAAGCCTAATATCTGTTTCCATTTCAAGCAATACGAAATATATGCGACTTTCACAGATTTTTTTTGCTATTTATCTATTAACACCATAATTCCATTACTGTAGGACTTCTGTATTTTTAGAATGAAAAATAGGGTAATTTTTGCGTGTTCACAAGAATACATGATCACATACGACAAGAATGTGCGAAAAAGTGTAATATAGAATTTATGACAAAACGCAAACTGACGCCAGAAGATGATGCTATGTGTTTGGTGGGATCAGAAGAGATTCGATAAGTTGCTGCCGCCTGGCAAAACGATTGTAACAACTATTTTAGGTACAATAAGCCATTGAAAAAGTCGACTGGAGCTAGTAAAGGGAAGCAGTGCCGCTTTCCATCGAGATAATACCAGACCACACATACATCTTTAGCAATGCAGAGAAAATTATGAGAACTTGAATCGAAGGGCCATAAACAAGCTTAGAGTTGAAGCAAAACTAAAAGCCGAGTAGTTTTACCGAATATCCGTAACTGTATGCGTAAAATATACAAATTATAAGCGTGGGTTAACTGACCTACAATTACAATGTTATGGAAAGTTATTTACTGTCACAGGTGATAATTAGCTGGTGAGTTACGGAGAGTTGCTTGTTATTTTGTAAATGATATTTGTGTTTGATGATGAAGGCAAAAGAAGGCATGGTTCAGCATTGTGATCTACGGCTTATATTTTATTGTATAGCGAGTAAAGCTGATTTTATCAATTTGTAATGCTCATCTAAAATCTTGTGTGGGATTATCGCAGGCCGACAAAACTCCATTTTCATAGGCTCTTTGTAAGTGGGGCTCGACTGCTCTGCTAAAAAAATTCAATAATAAGAAATAAAAGAAATGCAGTAAATGTTAATACTTTTGACGGAAGTAGATTCATAAAGAAATGGTTGGTCGACAAGAAGGGATCGACGATTATTGGGTCACTCAACAAACAACGTTTAAAACAATTCTTTGGTAATTTTAGCTCTTTGAACGTAATTATTAATAGTTTAGGTAGCTTCAGTTAGGATACAAATTAAATCCAGCACCTTTAATCCCTCAGACAAGATAATTACGTGTAGATAGCTCTTATCATTGTGCTTAATCTAATCGAAATATGTAGCCATAATACCGTACATATGGTATACTATCTTCACTTTAAATCAGATATTTTTTTAAATTAAACTAAATATTTTGCAAATCAAGCTGGATACTTTTCAAGCCAAAATAAATGAGCGGTCATTGCGTTGCGGATCTGGTCTGAACCTAGAGAATATCTTTCTCCAATTGGAGATCATAAGCAATTATAATTTTCGATCAAAAATGCTTGCAAGCAACCTTTGGCCACATCGCTCTATCACAAATAGTATTTATGGTGCTTCAAACAAAAAAGTTATGCCTTGTATACTCTGTTGTCCTAAACCGTGTCCTTTCCGACAATACGCTGCACCAACTAACCACTATATCTGTTTACTTCGTTCACAGTACAACGGATGCACTCAACCGCTTCGGTAAGTAATAGCTTCAGATGATATCTTACCGTATGTGTTTTCCTATCTGCACACGCACTAAAACTCAAACATGTTGCCGTTAAAAATCACCATAGTGCAATTCGATTGATATGCACCAATTTTGTACAATTGTAAATTAGCTTATTTGCTAATATGACACGTTTCAATACCGTAACGATGATATACCGTCTCCAATTCAAGACTGATATAGGACTCATACTTTGGTCGCGGATTTCCAGTCGAATAGGTCTTAATCTCATGTCACTTTGCAGCACGTTTAGTGACTCCTCCCTAGATGAGTCTGCGATTCCCGAAACAGATAGGCAAAGCGTGTCGGCGAAGCTTTGAACGACTGTTAAATTTCGTTGCCATACTCCGCCCACACTACTAGAGCTTTTACTGAAATTATCAGCCCCTTATTGAGGCGACTGTTTCTGATAATTTTACCTGATTATATGCTGTCCAGTCTTTTCCTATTTTTCTTTATTCCGGTTCAAAATTATATCTTTGGTTTTAGGAATGACGAGTAAAAGTATTGTCAAATTCTTAGGACTTGGAATCCAGATCTGGCAATATGCCTTGAATAACCGATTTCAATTATGGCTTATACGATTCTCCACCTATATAGCCGACATTTAGAAACCTGCTGGCACGTATGCTCTTTTTTATATAAAGCAAAAGGGTATAGCACATAATAGCTGCAATTGTTCATCACTGTACTGTAGTAAATACATGTATATATGCAGGTCTGCCCACTAAAAGGCCCTGGAACGAATAATTTAGTGTCCTTTGTGACCTTGGATAGCGCATGCCTCTCTATTGTACCGAGCCAGTGATCGTCAAGGTCTATCTATGGGAACGTGACTCGCTACTGGGCTTCGCCCAGAGCCATGACCCGAAAATATCGCGTCGCAAACTATAGGCCACTACCATTCCAACTACCAAGCACTCCTTGAATACCAAATATGTCAACAAAATAATAGCAGTTAAAGTAGTAAGGGACCTGACTTAATTTATAGTAGCTGATCTTGTTTCAACCGATTACACTGTCTAGACATTTATTCGTGTTTTAGAAATTTTTCTCTTAGTAAATGAATATACTAGAATTGGCCAGACTGGCCAAAAGTCTTTCGGTACACGTTGACGTTCTGGGTAAACGGGGAGAGAAACACAGCCAATTCGTTGACACCGTAACACTTCTTTAGTTGAATCAGCTGCGAATTAGAACGCCTAGAGTCCACATTTTTCAACAGAACCGTCGCGACTCCCAAGCGACGATTCTTTAGAAGAGATAGGGCAAAACAGGCGACAGGCTTTAATTCCGCTATTTCTACTTGACACTCTAAATTTAAACACACCTGTCAAATAGGAGATGGATGTATTCTATTTATCGTTGGCATTATTATTGCTCTGCATAATAATCCACCTGTATAATAATCTGTATAATCTGTATAATAATCGGAGTACAATATCGAATTCCCTATTTTTTAATGTTGCCGCTTGGATTAGTCCTTTTGTTTGTGATACAACCATAGGATATAGAGTAAACGAAATTATGATGCATTTAAAGACCATTTAGTGTTCTTTTCTTAAAAACTTTTCTTATTATTATTAACAAAGTATTAATAAGATCGCAATAACAAACTAAGATCGGGCTCAGCCCTACGAAATATGCAAATGCTTGTTCTAAATAGCCTTATTTTTGACCCATCGGTAACTTGTATGCAACGCTACCGTATACAAACTGCACACAGTACTTTGCCATGGCTAAATGATAAACCCAGGCAAGGAATATACATATGGATTAAAGTTTGTCCAAGGACCGCCATGAACTTATAAGTATCATGCAATATGCGCAATTCAGATATTTAAATAAGATGATGGTTAATATATAACATTAATAGATCGATGCACTAATATAGGTTAAATGAATAAACTATTACACTTTATTGAAAAATGTCTTGAAAAATGACTGATGAAATAAATTTCTCGCCTATTGCGATAAATATAGGCGAATATTATTACCTTGCGCTATTACATGGTACTTATCCTTTCGCTTCTAGTTTATAAAGTCTGTATATTAGGTTCAAGTTGCGTCAAGTGATTGGTAAGTGCGGCTGGCGGTTCATGTTTATTTTTCGTAAAGTGTACTTTTAAATCAGGGTATTATAATTTCTTTCAAGCTAACAGGAAGCTTCATGGAGTAGTGTAATAATCTCTTTAGAACTTATATCCTATCGCTGCTATTTCAGATGATCTGTTTGCTGCTCTGGTTGACGGTCCTCTGCGTGATTCATATAATGAGGCGCTTCGTGTCACACAGTGGACGTACCCTTTACAGACACTTCTTACCCTCATAGTGCTTTTACATTCCCTTTGGATGGATTACCTTGTCGCATTAGTTTTGGTCTCTCTATGCGTATCTTTGATTCGCAACTACATGATCGCTCAGGGCTGGATAATTGAGAAGGACCGTATGGATGTCGATACTCGCCGAAGAACCAACGCCGTTCGAGTGACCAAGCTGTTCCAACTAAATCTCCGTGTAGTGGTATGTTGGAACTGTAAAAATATGCCTATGGAAAGAAACTGAAAAAGGTACATTGTACTTTTGCAACCATCACTCTTTTTTTCTACATAAACCATTGTAAAAGAGTTTCAGTAATAAATTTCGCTTAGGTACATTGAATACATTTGGTTGCTTTATGCAAGCTCGTGAAGGGAAATGAAGGTATCCGGTGTTTTAATCTTCGTCTGTTCTGTGTGCACTTAAATTTATTTTCATCATCCCAGCTCGCCAGGTCTTGTTTCATGCATACTAGAGCGGTTCGTGCAAACAATACATTTTTAAGCAAATTACATACAATTAATTTGCGACACTATTTTCAAGGATAATATGAAGCAAATCATGGAATATTTTAATCGAAACGCCCACCGTAACTATTGCTATTTCAAAATTTCATATAATATGTAGTCACGAAAGCTTCATTTGCGATTTGATTTCCTAATTAAATTCGTTTGTAAAGTTATTAACAACTTCGCTAGCAAATGTCTACGACTGTTCTAAATGCTCGTACGTCTATTTTAAAAAATACTATAAAGTTATAGTAGAGAGCTGACATATATCTAATTTACTTTTGAAGGTCGATATTAATCAGTATTCTCACAAGTAGAGTAAATACATAACGACGCATACAAGGAGTGTAGTTCACTTTATTACCTAATGTTCCACGCCCACACTCCGTATAAACCCATCATTTACCAACTGGATTCGATTCAGTTGTTCCAGCGGACCTAATAGTCAGATCATTCCTGCGATACTTAAAACATGATCAGATGATTATAAGTTAAAGTCACATATGCGTATATATATGCATCTTCACGTGTGGTACAAAGGTCAGAGCAAGGGTTTTTATAGATATTGCTTAATTTTTGATTAAGGTGTATCTTTCATGCAGTACATGTAAATATGGATATAGATATAGAAACCTAAGGCAAGTGTTATGATGATACCAGATACACGTTGATTTAATCCCGGGAACAATGTTTCCTTTAAGAGTGTACCGATGCTCATCCTATGGGAACCATAATAACTATATCGTTTTGTCCATTGAAACATACTGTTATCGTTGGCTATATGTAAGGTTTGTCGTTTTTGAAGCGTATTAAGAGGTTCGGATAGTTTGAACTCGTAGCGGTAATAGGGGAAATATTTCGTACTTTATAGAAAACGGAATCTATTTGAACTAACTGATATCCGAACTAAGAATAGAAAGTAAAATTTGTCTCAAGCATATAATACTTTGCTTTCGCGAAAATATCAGGTATACGTTTATGGTCGTCCTTCAAACACCAGATAGGTTTCCTTCCTCTCAAGTATTTATTTACATACCCAAAATAGTTTAGCGTTTAAAATTACTCTGAGTTTTCTTCCGCCTTCCATAGCTTCTGTACAACTGATTTGGGTCGAATTCCATTATGACTTTCAATTAAAGGACATACGCTATCAATTTAAAGGTTGCATTTTAGTACGTGCGTATTAACAAAACTATGCATAGAATTCACAAAGCTGTCGCACGTGTCCCTAATCCTAAATCAGTTCGAAAGCAAAAATTTATTTTATTTTCTCTTATATATATATATGTATGTATATATATGTATATACGAATTCTCAGTGAAAAAAATCTGATACCTCACCTTCATACATCAAACACCTAGGCGAATATCCCAACTTGGACTTAGATTGCTTATTGCGGGTCAGTTATCTTTAACAATTATATTCACGAACAATAGAATTCTAGATTTAACTGATTTACCTAGAAACAAAGTTATAATGCCTGTGACAAATTTGTTTTCAAGACAAATTCTTTACGATGTGTTTTTTATGTGTCACTTATAGAAAGTGTTCCAACTCTTGACGGATGGAATGGATAAAGGGTTGGCCTTGTGGACCTGGAAAAGGCCTGAAATAACCGGGATCTTGTTTGGGACACTAGCTGGTGGTGCCCTCTTATCAGTTCTTGCCCCGGCAGGCCTCCTCATTAAATTCGTTGGGACCGGGCTTCTGGCGAAGTTATTTTTGTTCGACTATATCTTTTTCCGATTTCCTCGAGTGCGTGCGAAATATGACCTACTCTACAATTGGTTTAAGGAGTTGCCTACCAGTAAGTACCTTCCCTAATATAGTTGCAAACCAGCCCGAAAAAATTGTTATAAGAATTGACGTGGGCAGTTGCTGAATCGACGTTTTAAATTTATCTCAGGAGTAGTAAGGTACAAAATAAAAAAAAACTAGCTGTACTCAGTATCACCCTAAAAGCAATATTGTGGATTCTAATGTTTAACTAAAGGAATAATAAACATTTATTTACGAAAAATTTCTCATGTCTAATTATGAAATTCGGAAACTCAATTTCTAAGGCACTGTACTGTACATGACCAAGCCTAGAAGAGTTTAACTGGACGAAAGATTTAATTATAAACCTAATTAAATACTAACATAGCATGCGCTTACTGTAATTGATTGCAAATAGTTAATACGCAGGCATATTTTTTATTAGACTTATCTTTTTATATTCTAGGATTTATGTTCTTACCGAATAATCTAATAGCAACTATTAGGTAAATCTTCACGTGTATTTCAAGATAATTATATACTGTTATGGTGCTATAGTTAGCGTATGCAGTTGACCAAGTATTAAAAGTAAGGCTGTAGATTTAATTTGTAATGTAACCTTAAACGCTTTATGGGTGTTCAGAGTGAATATGGGATGTATGTTTGTAGGAAAAATGTCGTTCAAAGGACTAAGATCAGAAATAATACTGCCTCATATTAGTTACATAGGTAATTTATTAACCATACAGCATAACACAATATTCATCTGAATCGTAATATACTGGAGACACCGGACAAAGTTTTTGGGTATTCACATATTTATGAAAAATCAGAAACACCGAACTGCGAATATTTACACTAATATGTACACGCGCGTAGTCACCTTGATATACTGCATGCCGAGAAATCTGCATCGTTAGCATCTGAATTAGCAAAGCATGATTTTGCTGACAGGAAATGTAGTCCTGCCGGCCAACACTTCACACCTTACGCGGTTCTTATATATATCTGCAACCATACGATTCGATTTTTTCTTTTTCTCAAGACTATTTTGTTTTTTAGGTCGCCTTTTACGAATTCTCTGTAGCTGGCTTTGGTTTCCATTATAATCGATGAAAACTTTATTCTTATCGAGTTTCAGCTTTTGGTGCGCCGGCAGCATATTAATATATTGTTCAAAAATACGATCACGATCATAACGCAACATTTTGATTTGAGCCACCTTTTCTAAGCGAGAGAGCGAGCGCTCCTTAACACCCCTGCAGTGCGCATCAAATGCCTCCTGCAGGGTCATATGATCTTGGGTGTCAGCGCTTTTCAATAGTATTTCCCAAGCGATTCCCCGTTCTTCCGAACGAGACCGTTGAGAAATATTTTTTTGCGCCTCTCTGCTGTTATCATAACAATTGTAGCTTGAATTTTGAGCATGCAGATTGCAGAATGCCTGATCTGGCCCTATTCCTTTGTCGCTTGTATTTGGCATCGAGTCTTCCGAGGAACCCTCGTTGCTGTTTTCTTCTAAGGAGCAGCCTCTTGGTCTTCGTAGATCGTTAAATATATGTGCTTTTTGTCCTGCCCGAAACTCGGCAAAAAGCGGTACCGCTTGGCCGTAGGAGGCCATCTCCCACAAAACGCCAATTGGTTCTACTCGAAATAGGGTTTGACTATGCGAATTTTTAAAAAGTGGTCCTCTAACTTCCTGCACCACCCGTCTCTTTGAGTGTACATACTTGTGCGAATTGCTATTAAGGTCATTACAGCTGCGACTTGTTTTTAATACTTCAATAGCCGCCGATCTTTTGAAGTGAGACGGAGGGCAATGCAATGATTGTGTCCCTTCTGAAAGGATACACTCACCACCGTCAGAAGTAGTTCGAGTTCGCGTAGCTCCTGGTGATATCGATAAGAGGTTTCGCAACGGCCCGGACTCTTTCTTTATTTCTACCTGTTTGACCGGCTTGATAGGCTTCAAGTCGGCGGAGCCCTCAAAGCTTACACTGCTTAACGCCTTAATGATTTCATTGATAACTGCTGTTTTTGACTGAACCATTTCTGGCGCTTCTCTACAAAAGCTGGAGCTAATTGAAGAAACACTATCACTCCTCACTGTTAGGCTATTGAGTGAATCACTGTCGTCGTTGTCGGCTTCGATGTCTGGCCGGGCTGGTTTTATTGGCTTGCCATTACCATCGAAACATAAGTTGCATTGATTCGGTACTATAATTTTCTGTCGAATATTTTTTTCCAAAGACTCTCCTTGGTCTGTCTCGTACGAGAAAAAAACGTTACCGTTACCATCAAACTTTGTCGTAGAAACATTTAATGTAGTTAAGACAATTTCGTCATTAGAATAAAGTTTAAGATCACTTAAACGATCAAGTTCTTTTAGATCCAGTTTATTATCATGTGCTGCAGATTCAACCTCGGTACTGATGTCATTCATACTACTAGATCTTCCGGGTACTGGTCGCTGCTCGACCACTCGTTTTCCTTTAGCGGTGCCCAAAGGTTGTATTTTTTGTTGATAACTAATATTTTTGCTAAAAAGTCTTGATGGTAATGATCGCACACGTGCACGTCCCCATAGAAGAGCACTGTCATCACGAGTAATTTTCTCGACACGATTCGGAGGTACAACACGCGCCCTTAGCGTTCCACTGAGGATATCCCCAATTTGGTAAATAGGTCGTTTATGCTTCTCCAGACTAAAACGCTGGTCCATACTTTCCCAATGAATTATATCGTTAACAGTGGGTGTCCAAGTCTTATTGTGTGATAAATCTGTATCAGCAGTTTCGTCCGCTGCGCTCAGCTCCATAGCATTAAGTAGAAGTCCAATAGTCACATCTCACAAAAGCACTGATGTCCTTCGCTCGATGCAAGCAAGTGGCTATGCCAACCGTCGCCTTATTTCCGATGTAGAATAATAACGGTATATCTCGCACTTGTGCGATCGAAAAGCAGTTCCCGACTGTGGCAGAGTTTCGTCTATTGTTGTAAACACGGACTCAAAAGCGGCACAAGCGGTCAGACTAGCTGCGCTTTTCTGACGGAGTCTGTACCGTTATAACCCGGACTGGATGTGCGTATGTCTCTCTATGTCACCTTCTGTCCCTTCGGCGCCCTGGTCACAAGCTGCAGTGTGATATTTTTATCACAGACTGGGTGAAATTGAGGGTCGCGCTCATAGTAAGCGGCTTTCAGTGAGCAAACTTCCAGCAGCTGTGATAAAAACAGCTGACGAAGCAGGTGACAACATTGGAGCCATTGTTCTTGTCGTTCGTGACAGAATGTCTCACTATCGCCTTGAACTGAAGATTTTTTTGAGAGAAATTTTCGTTTTTAAGGTTGATTCTTACAAATGGCTTCTCCGCCTGTGAGCAGCGACTAGTAACTAGAAACATTCGCACATAAAAAAAAAAGGTTATTTTTATTGCGTGGTTTATGACTAAAGGGAAACTGAACAAAAAGTCTAGAAAGCATTTTTTTCGTAAATATTTGGACAGGCGAGTAAGTACACTTGAGAAAATTTTCGACTATGTAGGCAAATGGTTTCTGCTATGAATTCGATTGCGATAGGAATCATCGTCTATGATGCTCGGATTGCGATACAGTCGGTTACTGCGACTTTTAATTTTTGTATTTTCGCTCCGTTCCCATTTCTATTAAGTTGATATTATGGTGACGATTGCTTAGTGCCTTAAGTATGTTAAGCCTTACCAGCGTGAGCTTGGTTTGAAGCGCTGTGGCTCTACGAAGGTGTAAACATTTACTTTAAATGTGTTTTGTTATCTGCAGTTAATCATGAATCACTACATTTTTATCCCAGGTTTTAGTACCACTTTTTCCTACTCGCATTCACTGGACTTTCACTCCATTTTGTTCGTCTTCGTAATTAATTTGTTTTGAAGGTGCCGCAGTTCATCGTAAACCTGTCTCTCTCGTTTTGGCGAGCTGTGTATAAGCTGATCGCCGCCCTCGTTCGTGTTCCATTCCAATTCGCGTGCAATTTTCTGAAAGCTTCGTTGATTTTTGAAATCGTCTGCAATCACCGTACTCGTCTACTACAACCCCTGTAACCACTACTGCGTTAAGCATGATAACTTTAATGCAGGTTTGTACCCCGCATATGGCTCGCTGTCTTTGTCCCACTACCGTTGCCAGGCCTCACAGACAGGTCTCCTTTCGAGTTTGTGTTCTGTGCGTCGCTTTCCTTGTTCAATATTTGCGCTACTCGTACAGAGAGTTCATTTTTAGTTGTGCGCCGATATTGCTATCGTCAGTACCACCTCGATCAGCAGAAGTCTATCTGCTGAAAACTGGCGCGCTACTACCGAACTACTTGGTGAGTGTATGGGTAGATACGCCTGTCATCTTTGATGCATGGCCATCGCAGAGCCCTGTAATAGGAAAGGGCCAAGTATGTGATGGACTCGCCCGCTCTCAAGGGTGAAAGAGAGAATCCCCACGTCAGGATGTAAGAGTCTAAGGTGTGTTGGTCACGCATCAATTTAGGCACTTTTGCGCACTTTTTGAATAATTTTCGGTACGCTGAATAGCTCTAACTGTACACGGTAATCGGTTTGATGTGTCTTTAGGGAATAACAAAAGCAAGGGCCTGGATCCGCATACTAAGGCTTTTGACAAGAAAAGATACATCTATCTAGATTTTAGCTTATTCGAAATCGTACCTGTGTTCTATTTACTGACTATAGGGATTATGCATTAGGTGCGTTTTTTAATTCGTAAAATTATGCTCGACATATATTATAACTAATATGTGATTTCCACATAAAAACAAGTGATTTTTGTCCCAAGTAGAAGAGAAATAAGGTTGCTGGAAATCATGTGCGTATGCGCGCTAGGAGAGAAGCATTTGAATAGCTTCTGCATTTGTTGTTGCGTAACTAATCAAGGGTATGTCAAATGTCTTATTTGTGCGATTTAAAAGAGAAATAATCAGTCTATCAGTATAATATAAATATATTAAAACTGTATTTTTCACTTTTGATGAATGTCTGCGATTATTGAAGCATTTTTCACAATCAGCAGCTTTTGATACTTTCTTGAAAACTTTATCATTAAGATTGTCTGTGGCAAATTGAGCGCAAATTTCTGCTATGTTTTACTTTCCCTATTGAAAAGCCGGACTGTCAGTGAAAATTAGTCTAATTTTCACTGACAGTCCGGCTCCAAAATGTACATTTTGAAAAACTTTAAATATTTACCATTCGCATAAGGCTAAAATTTAATTTGCTTCTTCTATTAATCTGGCGGTAGACTTATAGTGTAAAAATAAACCGTGGCGTAGGTTCAAAGCTTACTTCTATTTCGCAACAATAATTACGGTTAAAATAGCATCTGTCTCAATTGTCAACCTGCTTTTTTTCCTTTATTCGTTTGCTAATTGCGAAATGATATCTTACTCAAGTAATTTCCTGCTGCTTTCCTCCCCTACTGTATATATATCTTGCCAATTTTTCACATGAGAATATTGCATGACAATTAGCTACATTCATTATCCCAAATTACGTTTTTGCTACCTTCATCTATCTTTTTCGAATTTAGCATAACTATTAAAAAGCGAAAAAGCACAACCTTTCTATATAGCGCTCTCTATGCCTTTGTTTGTCAGCAGGCTATTTCTTTGGGCTGAATAAAAATTCTCCTCACATTATTCGGTACAATATTAGAAAAGTGCTCTTTGAGTTTGCTCAAATGCACGTGCACTTTGCTATACCAGCGTGAGGCAATAAGTGACAAAACGCCAAAAAAGAACGCCAATAATATTTAAAAAAAAAAAGCGTCTGAACATTTAAAAAAGATATATCATTTTTTAGGTCGGGCGCCCAAACCGGAAACAATATAGTAGCTTCAATAAAACAGTTTATTTGTACAAAGGAACAATTCATATTGATGTTGACGCAAATGTTGGCCCTACAGCCAGATCGCCACTGCAGACGAGACACTGTGCCCAAAAAGTGGAGAGACTCGCTCTGAATATGAACTTCAACTGGACTGGAAGTTTTCCGAGGCACAACAAAAAAGGTGATATAGTACAGCGCATAATGGATGATGCACCTCCTAGGATTGTTTCTGACCATTCTGTAAGAATGCTTCCATCAACTAAATTTGTTGCCTCTGGCCGAACCGAAGATGGCCCAGTGTATCTCATAGGCGTTTTAGCATATGACATCTTCAGTTAAAGTGCCGCATATGGACGTAAAGGAATCATCATGTCATGACGACTTTATGGTACGGCGCAAACTATAGGTGCCTATCGGATAAGTTTTATTTTATTCAGCTGTTAGTGGCTTTGGCTACATAGCCAGAATTAAAAATCTTCTTACGCTTACATGAATTTTACTTAGACAGTACTCGTTTCCAATACAACAGTGCATAAAAACGGTGGGATTGTACTACCATCGAAAGACTGAACTTATCGAAGGAGAGCTCCAGTGAATACTCTATTCCCCGGACGCATCCATGGCTTACCTGGACCACACATGTGAACTCAAGGCACTAGATTTTTTAAGAGTTTTTTTTAAAAGCAAAGCTTTTAAGTCCAGGCCTCGCCTACTTTGGAGAGAAAATATCCAGCAAGAAACTATACTCACCACTCGATTTAGGTAAATAACTATCGAAAATTGTGTACCTCTATTTTGGCTTATAAGAAATCCCGAAGCCATCGTCAAAGTAACCTGAAGTGCAAAAAATACCAAAAAATTGAATCGTTTATTATATACGATATCAAAGTATCGTGCACATTCAACAAGGTGATGTTATCAGATCTGGAAATGGGCACACCGTACGTGGATGATCCTATACACTGTTAGACTGACGGAGACTAAAAGGTTCCAATTGTGTGCATACCATACCTTATTCGTTACCATACCCACGATAGGGCAGTAAACTACTGGGCCAAATACTGCATGGTCATGCCCTGACGCTGTCTCTTCGCGTTTAGATTCCAAGGTTATTGCAAGGTCACCTAGGCCAGTAGCGAGATTTCTCTATTGTGAGGACACTACAGGCTGATAGGAACGTGGCATGGATCGTCGCGTTTAAGGGTACGACAAAAACGATCTTCGGGTTATCGCTGGTCGGTTAGTCGAAGGTTTATATTTGAATAAATGAAAAACTGTTTAGCGCAGTTTTACCTTTTTAGGCCATCAACTAATAAATCTCTTTTGTATTAACTGTAAAATTGAAGATTCTTTTTATAATATTATATAAGATATACGCCGGCTGTTACACACTATTTAGAAAAGAGATGTCTGTGTTTTAGGCAAAGATTTGGAGCGCCAGCGCAAGTTCCATAAATCATTGAAGATCTCAAAGAGCACAAATGATTTGGCTTTGGCGCGAGCTGCTTTCGATCCTTCCGTTCTACGTAAATTAGAAGAAAAACTAAGCAACCTCTTCGAGCTGGATCGTATTGAAAGCCTCGTTACCGGGTGGGAGCTTGGAAAGCGATGCACATTGATTAATAAAGACAAAGCGCTCACTGGCGCTTTCAAGAGTGGACGCCTATTTCTTACTGAAGGCCATCTTCTTTTTATGAGGTACGTAAATGCTCAACTAGCACAGTTATCACTTATTGCCCTGACGAATAAATGCGCTCAAATCTATTTTCAACAAGTGTTTATTTACTACGCTCTAACAGAACCTTTATACTTATGTAAAGGTATAAGGCGCAATCGCCGAAAAATATCTCTATTGCACTGGGAAACATCGTTCGTGTCGAAAAAGGCAAACACTCCGGCTGGCTTCCGGGAGACGCACAGACGGTTGAAATTACTATTGATCAGGGCATTACATTCAGCTTTGGAGCACTCGCCAATCGCGACGACGTGCATCGTGAGATTTTAGTACATGCAGCACAACATGCATACAAAAGAAAAATGTGTAATCGGTCCACATATTAAGCGTTCCTTATTTCCTTGTGGGAACCCAATGTAAAGTTATACTGCTAATAGATGGCATTATATCACACCTCACTTTTTATAAGAAATATTCGAATTCTGTCACTACTATATCTTTCCAATACATAGCCACTTACTGAGTGAATCTCTATAACATGGACAAATTGGAAAGAACTATCTGTGAAAAAGTGTTATATTGAGTGAACGTGAGTTAACTATTATTTATATAAAAATACCTACATATTTTATGTACCCGTGACTAGAGGAAGATGTCAGAGTGGTGGGGATAGCACTCAGTATGCGAACTGTAAATATAGATCTTTACTCATTGGGCTTAGACAAAGAGAGAGTTATTTGGGTACGACTGCATAGGACAATTCAATGCGCATAAATAATAAAGGTTTGTGTTTAGTTTTGTTGAAAGCTGACATCTATTTCTTAACCTCCTGATTACCTATAATTTATGACACATAAGTAAAAAAAGCCAAATAAACTAAAAATATTGCCCTAAAGTAACGATTTCGTCATCATTACGCAAAATCCAGTTTTTAGAACGATGAAATCGGTTTTTTAACGGCCATAACGACTTTTCCAACATAAGCAATTGCACAGTCGCCGATAAAATGCGTGTTAGTTGGGTGGCACATACAATTTTTTGAGTGCTGTGTTGGTGCTAACGGCTGGGAAATGATAGATTTCCGTGAATACATTTATAAAAATAATACAAAGACAACTTAATTGTAATTGGGGTCTGTTAAAAATTCATATTCGAATTCCGGCTTCTATCTCTATGCACAAGAAGGTTATAAGGGCGTCTTTGCACGCGTTTTCAAAAAAAATAGCGGGCTTATGTATGCAATACGCTAGTGGAAACACAGTAACATTTTTATATGTGTTAAATTTATAGAAACAGTTATACTGAAGCTAACCAATAGAACCAATTTACAAATGACATAGCTAAAACATGTTTTGCTCTAAACAGGACCGTCGACTAACATCGAGAATCGCTTGCTTTGGAAAATTACTGTTACTCCCATTTTTAGTGATTAAGATAATATCGACCAAATCTGGTGGTGCTTATAGAAAGCCTAAAATATTATGATAAATGAAGACACTAATAACACAGAATATATACATTTTATTTGTCGTCCTCTACTGAATCCATCCACACCGTCCTTACTATTTACATTTCTATTGTTAGATCTATTACCGCAATATCAATATAGCAACCGTCGTCGATCGCAGTATATGATAACGTCTGTCTTTCGCAGTGTTCAGAAGCATCTTCTTTCCGGGTTTATCTTCATTGTTGGTCTAGTTAACTCAGCCGATTAGCCTTAGTATTATGTAGGTTAAAAAAATTAAACAAGATATAATTAGAAGATAATAATAACAAGATAAGATTTCAGCAGGATAAATATGATTTTAAGGTATCAGCAGAAACTCTATAACCCGCGGGGCCAACGGTGTATGACCAATCGTAAAGCTCCTTTCGAGCCTGCACCGCTCGATGCGCAGGGCTTAATTAAGAGCATCTTCACTATAGTTCCGATACATTTTTTACCACTATCACATTTGTAATCGTTCGACATTGCAATGGAGTCATTAACAGCATAGGCACTAATTTCAGAAAGTCAAAAACTACTTTCCACCCGTATTATTGCTATTGATCTTAGTATAAATTTCTTGTTGAGTGAATCTTCTGAGTTGATTATACTCATATGGACGCTAGATATAATATATATATATATATATATATATATATATATATATAGACGCAGTAATGTCGCTTTTGATAGTCACAGCCAGTTTGCTACAATATATGAAACCATATTTAAGTTGGCTTTTAAGGCCATCACCCCCATCGGATGTGGCAAAGTTATTTAGGTTTATTATGCTTTACATGTTTGAAATTAAAATAGTAGTCATTCTTATGGCGTACAAACGTAATTTTTACATTTAGTCAGCTCTGAAAACCGTAATTATGTACTATTGTGGCAAATCAACGACGTTTCTTGCTTGTTTGTTATATATATATATATAAATATATTCATTTCAAGACGTATTTTGAAATTACCATATTGACTTTAGTTGGGGGAATATTTCAAACATAAAAAAAAACTTTATGCAATTGGTCGATTTCGTACAGCTTTTATTTTTGAGTTTCAATTAACATTTTTGTTTGTTCTAGACTTTCCCGCTGAATGCTACTTATACTGAATGTTTGAGTGTAGTCTATAAGTTTCCTGTTCGTACAAACATGGGTGGCCGGAACGGGCCGCCATTTTGAGGGATATGAAACATTCAAGAGTTTGAGTCTGTTTCCACAATGAAACCGTTCACGGTGACAGAACGAATAGTATTTTGGTGTTTTTTTACCGTCAAAATTAGGACAAACATTTTTAACAGTGCTTGCTGGAAAGTTTATGACGCAGCTGCGGAGTACCTGTGACCTGAAGACTCTCAGTTACTTGAGGGTTCTGTGAAAGATAAAATTTACGCGGACAAGCTAGCAGTTTAGGAAGTAGAAGCCAAGGCTCCAACGGTAGTGGACTCGATAGACTGTGAACAGCTTGGACCTATCATCATGTCAGCTTCCCACGTGGCACCGTAACTTCCAAAGCTACTTAGCCAAGGTTAAATTACACGAATAGAGAAAAAAGACTCAAGATGGAAGCAAAATGAACCAAGCTTAATACGTTAAATTTTTCTACAAGTGCCAAGTAAATTAGTGAGAAGGTTGAATTACCCTATTTGTAAGACTTCTATCTATGCTGTTTATGCTACTTTGTCTCTGGACCTGATTTAAAACTGTACACTCCCAAATAGTTGGGGATAGCACCTTGCCAAATAATGTTGCTCATATAAAAATCCTGTTTCGCATAGCGAGTAAGCATGCACAAAACGAGGAAGCTGCGATTGTCTATTGATATTATGTGCTAGATATCCAGCAAATGACGTTAGCGTAAGTTTAACGTATATGTGGAATCTTATTTAATTTACATCGTACAGATGCTATACCAATGATAAGTCTAGTACCTTTGTGCATAGAGAAATGCATGTAGGGTCAACAACAACAAATATCTAAATTCATGACAAAGCAACTCTAGGGTTCTTAAAAAAAATTGGTTAATAACAAGCTGTGGATTCAACATGTCTCCATGTGCCACTATATTCGTAGAATATGTATTAAAACTTTTCATTATTTCATTGGAAAATTTCAGGTCAGATTGCCATTATATTGTGAAAATTTGATTTATAACAATATAATATGGGTGGTGCCTCTGTTACTGAAACAACAGATTATTTCAGTAACGTATTGCAATTCCAGAGGAATAGTGTTGACTTAAATGCTTTTAATATCACCTTTTGATGCCGTAATTCTAGCCAGTCTCAAAAAGATTTGGAATATTAAATATCAACCGTAGCGCTTCCCAATCAGCCCACAGCACAACTAGTGATGATGCTTGTTCCAGCTCATCTATAGACAACTATTCTAACGCTGGCTCGTGCCGCTACTCCTATTCGAGGCGCTAGTTTGGTTCGGACCTGACATCTACACCATCAATTTTGAACTTTTCAGCATCAGAACTTATCCTAGGTTCTTGTGACGCAAATTTTCAGGCTCCTCAACCTCTTATCACTAGTACGCCAATACGATACCTATTGGCATAGACTTTTAACTTTTTTAGCTTTGAATTTTTAACTTTAAGGTCCCGGCGCACGACCCGCTTCCCATCCTCACCCACGTCCGCTAACTTAGCTGCCCGTAATCTTGTTGTATTATGATTCTACCTTTGAACGCTGCAATCTCTTACTCAACTGATTTCGCCTACTCTACGTTGTCTATTTTCAAATTGACTGAATTGGTTAATAGTGCTTCGTAAGACTACGACGTCGGATATATCCCATATTCTTCTCAAAGATCCTGTATTAAAACTTAACCATGATGGTTTCTAGAAGACATACGATGATATCGTGAAGCGCACGGCTTTTGCGACTAAGGTTATGTTAGAAGGATTAACTCTTCCGGGATGGAACGGAAGGAATAATAGCCTAGCTGAACGGACTAATTCTGAATTTATACAGATACAATACAATCTTAAGCATCTTAAGGATCTCAAGTCACCGATTGATAATCGCAGTGGCCTCCGAACAATTACCGTTAAATACTTCAATAGGAAGATACGGAAACATCTCGTAGAGTTTGTTATTGCTGCCGAGACAGACAGCTGACCCTTGCATCATTAATGACAGACCTTGTCAAAGGCTACTTAATATCGATACCCTCTTTCCGCTTGAGGTTCCCTATTTTTTCTACCCTTGTCGTCACCTTATCAAAAAGCATCCTAGCCAAACACCGATCTTCTGCAAGGTAATGCTATGCGTTCTACAACTGCATCATCGAGAAGCATGACCTCATCAGCCCACACCTAATGCCCGACCAGTTTTATTTTTGGTTACCTATAAATAATAAGTGACCATCTGTTTCCTCCGGCAGCATGAATTAGGAATTAGTAATAAATAGATTTAAAAGGATGTTAACAGTGCTGCAAAAGCTATTTAATAAGCTTTTCTATGGTAATAATTAATGCAATGAATGCTCCGAGTAAGTCAAAGAGAAATAAGTGTACGTGCATATATATCTATTTAAATATTTGTATGTGTGAGTGTACAAAGCACCACTAGGTTTACTTGTAAATATCTATCAAAGCAAGCCGCAGGTTTTATTTGCTTTAAAAGCGTTGTAGACTCTTCGTGCAAGGCAACAGAAATTGTCGAACCGAAGTATATGTTTGCTGGGCGTAGCGAATCGGACAAATGACTGTAGAACTTTGACGAGGTAATGCACGTAGTCCTTTATCTAAATGGCATGAGGTGCTTAGACTACTTCCATGTGCTCTTTAGGATGCTTTCTGATCCCCAGACGATGCTGCACGACTTGATCACTAACAGTCAGGGACAATGCTACTGGCACCACGTGATTTGTGTCAATAAAAATGTCCGTTCATATATGTTCGTATAGCTTATTCCATTCAAGGAAACTAAATTGATCTGGTGTAGCATTTGTCTCTAATACATCAATAGCCGCACTACCGGCGTGTCTCTCAAATATCTGTATCAAGCTTTGTTTGATAATCCCGCGCCACAATCCGCAATCTGTTTGGGAGCGCTGATGTGCAATTTCAGTCAGATCTATCCACGCGAGCGTTAAACACAGCAGTTATGGTTTGGCTGCCGAGAGAAGCACCCTGGGAGCTCTATAGCTGCAAGAATATAACTGGCAAAATCTTCCACCGTCGAGCTCGATAATAAAGAGGGCAACTGTTTAATGCCACTGATACGTAGGTGGGTGCCATGTACAGACGACGGATATTCGAAGCAGCTCGAAGTTGCAGCTAGCCGGTTTCGACAAAGCCGACCTGGCGATTTCTACATCGAACAACGGAAAATCTTTGCAAATTGCAAATATTTCTGTAGGTCGATTATTAAAAAAATTAGTAATTGAAAGCATTTCCTATTAATACAGCACTAACGATTTACTAATATTCGCTCCAAATATGTCGGAATAGTATTAAATTTAAAAACTCTTTCATAGACGTCAATTATGCGCCAAAGAGCTTTGTTAGGTACTTACGTAATATAGTAGCTCGACTGTTATTTTATCACCCTCACAGCTAACTAAGCAAATTAATTATGTATTACTATTTCTCAGATATTCAAAATACCTCATGTTTCTTTTGTTCGTTAGTACTGAAATTATAGTGAAGGTACAATAACTTGGTGGGAGGAAGGAGGTGGGTAATAAATATAACATAAGATCATATTTAGGACCACTTGGGGCGAATCATTTGGCATAAAAGCATGCATATGTATATACAAGAGTGGATAATTCTGATACAGCACCGTTCTTCTGCTATACTTCGACGGTCGAGCCATTATGGCACAACAGCACATTCCTATTGTTCAACATTATTTCATATGAGTGAAAGCTTAACTGCTACGACCTAAAAGTTACGTTTAATTTTTGGTAGATAAAGTATTTCAAATGCAAAAAGAATAATCGAAAGATTCGAACAGGCTGGGTCGATTTATTGGCTTGTTTAGCAAAAAATATCATGGCTGTTTGCAAGATTGTAGGAGCGAGTTCAGGAACATCCATTTGATATCGTGCTCAAAAATGCAACATGTAAGAAGAACTATGCAGCGTGTTCTCGAAGCAAATTTACATCTTCATACTTCCAAAATACAAATAACTCAAAACCTCAATATACAGGCCACACAAAGCGAAGAAAGTGCTAGTAACTGAACAAAAATAACAACAAGTAAATGAGTGATTTTTCCAACCGAAGAATCTTCAGTGATAAAACCCACTTCCATGTCGATGGCTTTGTAAACAAGCAAAATTGTCGCATCTGTGTTTCGTTGAAGGAAATTTACTCTTAACCGTGCCACTCTGTTTGAATTTTGGCTATGAAGTGCTATTAAGCCGTTTTTCTTCGAACATGCTACCAGAAACACATGAACAATTAATGGTAGGCGGTATTGGGGCATGATTTTCTAGTTTTTTGTCCTTTGAGTGCCTGATATGAATCTCAAAGATATGTTTCAAGAGAATAGTTCTGCTTGCCACACATCACTTAAAACAATGCCTTTAGAGATCGAGACATTCCTTCGTCGCGCAGTATCTTGTTTGGGCTACGAAATTGACTGTTTGGATCGTACAATTTATGTTTTTGCGCTTCTTTCTTCAAGATTTTTTCGAGTTAAAATTTTATGTCAACGAACCCATGATGACACGGAATTCAAAGAATGAGGTTAGTCTCTGCATAACCGAGATTCAGCCACAACTATGCCGAATTGATTTGAAATTCAGTCAAAAAGACAAAAATATTTTTATTTATTATACTTTACATGATTATTTTATGATGAAATCAAAATTAAGATACACAAGCAAATGAACCATTTTTTTATTCGAAATAAAAATGTTCGCTTTTGATGAAGTACGTATAGTTGTACAATAAATGCTTCAATGTTTCATCCATAATAATATGGAGGATGTCATATAGTTCCCAAGTATGACCACCGTATCTGAGAGGGAACATTTTAGCAATTAAGAAAGTATGTAACAAGTTAAAAGCTGCTGCTCGCTGTAATATTATTCCAGGTAATAAAGGACAGTATTGTAAGGCCATCGATTGTTGACCTATGCAAGGCTGTTGATTTTAAACTATACAACAGGTTGCACATACTGGGTTTAACTAATTAGATATTTTCATTGTTTGCGCTTTGGCACGATCTCAGAAGTGATTTTAAAACATCTAACTTAGTTGGGAATCCATAAAATTCGCGGAAAAATTGAGCTCTTCGAGACCAAATGTACTTATAATATATAATCTAAAAGATCTATATAATGAATATTTCATCAAAATACTATTTATTTACTTTAGCATTTATCTTTGCCTACGCGTGTGCCGTGTAGCTCCAATTAGCTTTATACACTGACTATTTTATTAGTTGACCACTTAAATTATGAATTATGTACACGACCGGCGCCTCTGTGTATTTAATTTTACAACTCAAACAACATCTGCTGCTTTTTGAGGATAAATGTACTGCATTATTAAGCCTGCAACCTTACACAAACGTGTCTTGAGACATGAGTGCGTTTTGAAAATTGTCTTTCCGTAGCCAGAGGGCAGTCATGGCTTCGGACAGATATTGGGATCGGGCGATGTCCAACCTACAGGTTTGCCCATGTTATATTTGATAAGCCAGTCATATAGTGGTTGGAAATACCGTAGAATGGGCCGAGCGTCCATTTTACCTGTTTTTCCGTTCGTGATCGCTTTGAGTGCCTCAGGCCAAGGCTTGGACGAACCGAGCGCAAGCATATCTCCCATCAGCTTACCTGCCTCTTTCGACCGATAAAAATCGCATTCGTGCAACAATCCGCGATGGCCTGCTGCGTCACACAGTGCTTCGTAGAACTGAAACTGCAGAATATTGGCTACAAAGTATCGAATATATGGCGTTCCAGAGGAAATGTGATATTTCGAAGCGGGATCAAAATCATCCTTGCTGCGACGAACTGCCGGGCAGTAACCGGCATACTCGAGCCTATAGAGGTAAATTAATCAAGCTGATTAGTTACTTGATTCTTCGACCATTATGAGAATTATTGAGAGGTGTTACAACCAAAGTTTGAAACATGTGATAAAAATAGCTATAACATGTTTTGTAGATTACGAAAGCGCGCTTTACTAAAAAATAATTAATGGTAAATAGCTTATGGATATTAGTATGGATAAATATGAGAACTTTGAAAAATTAACTAGATATATTATACTTACTGTAGTTTCCACCATTCGTCATTTAATCTCTCCGCTGCATAATTGCCTCGGTAAACGTTCCATCTCCAATTATCGAAGAAATATGCCGAAGGTAATATGGCTATCTTGTCGAGTGCAATGCTCATTAGGTAGTTAAGAGTATCTTCTTCAGTCATTTCGCTTTCTTCAAGTAAGTTTATAGCCTGCAAATGTTTTGGTGTAGACACTGATAGTGCCAACGTATCACCTACGGCCTCATGAAAGCCTGGATTCGCGCCTGATTGGTAGTATGATGGCAATTTTTGATATTGCAAATAATACTCAATATGCCCCATCTCGTGGTGTGCTACTATTAGGTCTGACATTTTCACTCGCGTACATTGCTTGATACGAACCAGGTTTGTACCACAACCGTCCCATGCACTCGCATGGCACACCAGTTCTCGGCCATCGCTGGGCTTTTCGAGAAGAGAACGATTCCAGAACTCGTCTGTCATAGGTTTAAGGCCAAGCGAATTAAAAAACTCTTCCGACAATTTAAACAAATCGCGCGGTTTCATGCCTTTTCTTACCATTGCGTCGGTTACGTCTACTGTGGGTCGACCCTTAAATGGTTCCAAACCTTTGATTGAGATGTGTTGCGCATGAATGTGACCTGTAAAAGTAATAAAATAGTATTTGTTTACACCAGTTGTTACAACCCGTCGAACTTCATTATAGGCGTTTGCAACCTGCAGCATGGCTTTATTTTCTACGTAAGAGTTCATTTACTTCTAGAGAGTCTTTAAAATGTAGACGCAGTCAAAATTCATCTATTAATGAAAATGAAAATGCTATTAAATTGCGTTTCTTTTTTATCGCATATATAGTTTAGTACATATGTGTATAATGGGAATGCTAGTACAAATAAAGAAATATGTGACGGATTTCAACACAAAGGTATCTGGTCTTTCCGCCGACTGTAAAGCTGGATTGCCGCATACAAATATTGTAGAAGCAAAATGTAACATAAATAGAAGTAATATGAGTAAGCCAGGCGACAAGAAAGAAGAAACGATAGAACGTATTATTGGAATAAGGGGAATAAGAAAAAAATACTCCTTGTAGTAAGATGAGTGGAATGAAATTGTTAAGAGCGAGACAAGAAGACCGTTAATATGAGCATAGTGGATTGGTACACTGGTGTAAGTGATAAAATCAGTGGTGTTTATGATCGCAATAAGTATTAAAATTACAATAAAAATAATTGTAAGACGCCTCAGTGAACATGTAAAGTATGATATACAAGGCGTGTCTGATTTCAGAGAACTTCTGAGTAGTCACTTCCTTATGTGTCTATATGTAAATATTTTTTCATTTATTCATACCAAAAAAATGAGACAAACGTCCCTTAAAATTTGAAAATAAAATGTTTTATTTATACCAAGAACTCTTATTTAAGTTCGGATCATTGTGAGCAGAATTACGGGCCAACCAAAGAGGATAAATTGGCTTCATTACTTCGGAGTCATCCTCCGGATTCAACACCTACTTTGACGCACTATGTCCCATATGTAGCTGTAGCGTCTACGATAAATCGAACTCTCCTTATCTGTTCGAGGCGTCCTTTCTCTTTCACACCTGTATTCCAGTTGCTGATTCAATTCTTCAGTCATCCGTGGTGCTGCATATGAAGCCTACAGATTGGTATTTGTCCTCCAATTGGCTCATTGGTAGAATTCGGCTTCTCGCGTTGCAACCTAAAATTTTTGCTTCACCTTCTTGTTGCGTTCCTGGTTTCCTCAAATACCGGACAAATCAGCAAGGTACGGGTTGGGTCGTCGTTTGGCCGGAGGCCACAAAAAAGGTGCCGCTTGTCTTACATGCGTTTTCCTTTTTTGATTTTTAGATCTCAGAGTGGGGTCTCAGCAAGTACCAGTACTATATAGGTGCTAATTGTACGACAGACTTGTGTGGTGTGGAGGGCAGTCATTCTTTAACTTTTATGAGGCACATAGTTCCCTGCTCTATCTCGTGCTTGATGCCTTCTTTATCCACACCAAGATCCCAAATGAAACAATAAATTTCGTAACCGGCATTAGGAGCTCGCGTCTGTTGTTCCGGGGATGTTTAGGAATGTCTTTCCTTTCAAAGCCGCTTTTTTTACTGCTTTAGCTGAAGCTCTTCACATATGTAATCTACCATTTAGTATTTGTCCCAATATACTTTTAAGTATCCTGCACTATTTTTCAAATCGAACCTGTTTACCGTTTAGACGAAAATTTGTTTTTTTTTCCAGTAGGTAGAATCCCTTCACTTTTCTCTGGGGTATCTTTCAGACCTGTTTTCTGTTCGATAGTATATCCAGTTGGTATGCACGCATGACGAAACGGCATGCGCAATCTTGTTTCTTTGAAGTTCGATTTCCAAGGCAGAACAGGCTTGGACGGTGGTAGATAAATCGCCTCTGTACGTCAGCATCTTCAATCTCCTGGAAGTATTTTGGAGACGAAGGCCACTGTCGTACGCTCTGTTTCACGGCCCGAAAGTAGACTTTTTGCGACATCTGTCTTCGAATCCATGCAGGTCTTTTTATTCGTGACTTTTCTATCATGTAAATAACTAGACATTATTCAAACCAGATATAAAGGGCTTTTTCGCTAATTGCCTTCCACAGAAAATTATTTAAAGCGTTTCCGATAACAGAAAGTACTGCTAAATGTCTCTCGCGTATCCTTGAAATAGAACTGTGTGCTAATCTAGTTTTTTGAAGCACGGACTCATATATAAATATATAAGGACTATTTTTAACTTCGCAGTTAAAACAACAAATTTTGCGGAGTGGGGCCTTAATAACTTATCTTTAACACTTAGCCGAGGGTTATTGTCAACTTACCGACAAGATGAGCAGGAATAGGCCCATCTTCCTTAATTTTTCCAGGGTACATGATAATTAATTTACTTCTAACATAAGCATGCAGTTGTTGATACAGCGGTTTCAACGTAATCCACAGATCCTCGAGGTCTTTTTCAAAATTGGGCGACTGTTCGTAATACGTCTCAAGTAAATCCTCGGTGTAGTCCTGAGTCACAAAAATAAGTTGAATGAGTTTTATAGAACAGTTCAGAAGTTCTAGAATATCGCATAGCAGCTAACGCTTGTCACTCTGGCAGATCTTTTTAGGCTTAAGGTTATCACCAAGAAATCTTTGAGGGTATTTTTCAAATTTCTAGATAATTAAATTACTTAATTAATTTGACAAATGCCAAGAAAGGCCTCCTATTTTCCAATGAGTATGTTGAAAAAAGTGTAAAGTAATCTGGACGTCTATTATAGTTTTAATAAATGAAGTGTTAAAGCAGTACCTTCCTGCCGTTGGCCCGTGAACCTTCGTTTAGTATGCTTGCAACCTTCAACCATTTGTTCTTGACAGGTTTACCTGCTTTGTCACGGAACTGTGACCATACATGAAGAAGCTCATCATAGTCTTGTGATTGCTCAAGGATTTCTTTTATTTCGGGCTCAAGCCCTAAAGTACATTCTTCTGGGCTAGCGGGCGGCTCATTTGGCTTTCGATAAGGGCAAACCTTTGTTTTCGCGTGATTTGATTCCATCTCCTGCCTCAGTCTTATCATCTCTGCAGTTTTTTCTTGCGGTAATGCGGCGACGCCCAAATTACTAAGTGATTTGAAAATACGTTTCAACTCCGGATCTTTAAACTGCTTCCATGCAAATTTTTGGGCTTCGCGACCCTTGTTGCCGGTAAACTTAACCATTTTTTGTGATGCCTCGGCCTATAAGTGAAGATATACACGCAATAAAAAAATATACGTCTATATAACTAAAAGGACTGCTTTATGGTAAGTACGCAGCGATATCACGACAAGTGCGTCTAAACTTATAATCTTTAAAGTACCATCTAACAATTTTATTATAAAACTATTAAATTAAAATACTTTAACGTGTAAAAAGCTAAGCTACAAGGCTATTTCAACATACGCATAGTCTAAACGGTAAAAGCGGTGTTTACGTCTCTGTACTGGGGCACCAAAAATGCATTCGTCAAAAGTATTAGCATAATTCCTGAAGTAAATCATTTGACGTGGAACATGTCGAACAAAAGCTCAGTTATAGTTATCTCGATAAACAGAACAAGGCAGAACCTACATTTTTCATGGAGTTGTAGTCAGTAATGTTGCTTGCTTGTTCCCAGGCTGCTTCTGTCGCTTCTAAGCAGAGCGGGAGATACTCCGTCTCGTACAAGTTCAGCCACTTACGAGCCTCCAATTGTTGTGTTGAGATCGTTTCATCGTTCAAAGTTATTTTGCCGTCGCATTCCTGATATTCCGAAATAGTATATTTTATGCTGTTAGTGTTCATTATGCTTAAGCAGAAAATTAATTGTGCATGATGTAATTTATACATGACGTTTAAGCAGCGCATTATTTAAGCCATATACGTTACTCAGTTAATGCTTAATGGAAACTGAAATTGCTCAATATAACTTTTGTGGGAATTTTTTTTATAGCGAAATCTGCTGGTTGTATGTTAGGCACTATAACATGTTAAAAATGAACACTTCTTTAATAGGCTTCTATTCGATAGGAGTAGATATAAATAACGCCCATCATTTACACATGAAGTACTTACATCTAATTAGCAAAACGCAAAAGATTCATATATAGTAGATATCTATAAACAAGAAACTATGTGCACCTCCGCTGGATGCGCTATTATCGGCTATCAAGGATTTGTCTGAAATTCGCTTATATGCGCGTGTATGTAATGAGATTTGGTTAAGCCATCGAAGTCAGCACATATTCTGTATACAACACATTCTTTTGATTTTTTTTTTGGCATTAATACTAATTTGATTATCTAGATACGAGGAAATTTTTAACATTGGGGTACTTTAGTTTTTAAGTATCTAGATGAACTTACACGTGGCATACCGTAACATCGTCTGAAAGATGTCCTTATAATAAATCTTCCCGTCGACTGAAAAGGCGCAAAGTTCAATGCAAAACACCTACTGGAAATAATCCATTCTAATGCAGATGCTGATCAAATAGTCAAGGCTAATACCAGGTATTTTTAAGGTGACATAAGTTTTCGGTATAAGTGTATAACAACTAACTCCATCTACCTGTTCATGAAGTTTGGAGCCTACTCCAAAGACATGGCGTCATACGCTGGTACGGCCTTTTTGATGTGCTTTCTGATGCTGCATCTAACAACAGAATGAGTAACTAACTGATGTTTCTAAACATAAACGTTCGACTCCACGTTTGAGCGCGACCGATTAATTGAACGCTCGAAACAGAATTTCCGTATTCATATATCGATGGGTGCACGTTTAGTTTCATCGACATATATATTTAAATCGGTTCTGAGCAACTGTATAAATAGCAGTCAATCGCTTTTAAATGTACTTTTTACAAGAGTATCATAGGCATGATTAATAATCGCCACACGTGACTAACCTAAGCAGTTAAAGAAACTACTTCAGGACACCTTAATCCGTCTTTCTGATATCCATTCTCAACCGTTCCTGGCGGAAAGCAACACGGCTACCTAGAATCGCCAAATAGTCTTTATAGTCATGCGAGTATCACTTTAGAGTACTTCTATTCTTAAATCCGAACTGCATCAGCATACATAGGCTTCCAATGTTTTAAAGCAAAATTGCCATGCGAATCTTCGACTCAGCTCAAAACATTATAACTTTCGATCTTTGGCAAAAATTAATGACGTAAAAGGGACAACGAATGTAAGCAGTGTTTTGTAAATCAAAGTTTTTAAACTTTGCGATAGTGATTTCCCGTTGCTGTAACGCCACGCAAGTACGGATGTGTTGTGAGTGATCCATTTGCTTTAGGCGAGGTTTTGTGAGCTGTTAGTTTTTCGCACTGCGAGATTTAATATGCATTGTTACGTTCTTGGTATTTGTTACTGCTCTTAGACTAACGGTGACGGATCAGTGTCCCTTAGATACAGAATCGTGTCTATTTGGTTAAATTATTTCCTTAAAAAAAGTAAACAAAAAACGTTATTGTGGAAAAATCAAATAACGAAACCTTAAGTTTGACTTTACCGGTCCTACGAGTTGCACTACGTAATATGGATAAATAGTATAGATGTTCAAGGTATGAATAACGAAGAAGGTTATAATAAAACATTTATTCCGCTGCCGTGAGACTTGGCCAATTCTACTCCCCACTGCTATAGTGGCTAATGACTTAGACTCCACTGGAAGATGAAATAGCAATTTTCCTGTACTACAAAGTGGTTTCATTTCCAAAAGCATTGTAATATCGCTATAGAAAAATATTACTCAATATTACATAAGAAATACCATACACAAAGAAAATTATGCGAAATCATTTTCTTGGTATGTTTTGGTCGTCACAAACAAATGCGTATGAATAACTACAAAGCCAAAGACTGTTAATAATACGTTGGAGCTTCTGTTGTCAGAATTGCGAATCTTCGCATTCTGCGAATCTGAATAGCCCAGAGATGCCTCAAAGATTAAGTAATTGTCGATCATTCTGGGGTACTGGATTCTGCATGTGCCTTTAAAAAATGGGAATTTTCGAAAATACGCGACAAATAAATTAAACTGCATTTAAGGAAATTTATATTACTGTTTAATAGTGATACGTTTACCTTCAGCTGTATATATGTCGAGACACGGAGCCATATATATAAAACGATTAAAAAACATGACAAATCTATTAAAGCATTTTCCTCATGGATGAACGTTGTGATGTCCGAAGTCGAACTGCGATTTATAAAGGATCTAAACCCATTTCTAAACCTCAATTCCAGCTCACACTATAGCTCTCGTTCAGAATAATGGTTCAGAAATATACCTATTAAAACACTTTGTTTTGTCACAGATATTTCAGAGTTGATTATAGCTGCGTTGCAGAATTACTGTTCGCTTACGTTTGACCAAACTTTTTCTTCTTAGAATTAATTTAAATAGATTTTCATATTCTGATGTTAATTGTATTGGTTGCTAGCTGCTGTTGCCGAGATTGTTGCCGAAGTTGTTGACTGAAATGCGCAACGAAACTGCTTGCTGTGTCCCAAGATAAACTAACGTACCTAACTACAAAGTACATTATGAGAAGAGAATCGGTTTTGTTCTATATCGCATGGTGTTAGGGTTAACTCATAAAAGTTACCAAATAACAGCAGAGTCGTGATATTTGGCTATACAAATGCCTGTTACTAAATGTAAATATATAGTATCGTATTTCTAAAGTGATTATACATACTGCGATGGGTGACAAAATATGCCACTGATGAAACCCCACGCCAGCGATTTCAGCTAGTCACGCCGGGCCCCGCTTAGCTCGTTTGACAGTATTCTTTGCATATCTTAAGTTAGCGTGATATATTTCAATTCAAAGAAAGATCGAAGATCATCATTCTCATCTTCATCAGAGTCTTGTCAACTATCCAACCGGCAGTTTGCCAGATGTATTTTTCATTCACTTGCCTTCTAAAAGCTTCCTGGCCGCAAATATATATAAATATCCCGAGACAGACATAGAATATCATATATATTATTGAAGACAGGTAGTAATACAAAATAGTAAGCTTTTCAGTGATTCTGCTAGCCCAACGTTGCAGGCGTACTAAGCATGTGCAGTTTTGCTATACACATCGGACAAGACAGAGGTCTACACAGTGACTGACTAATGTTCTACGATCGGCACTACCCGAAGAAGACAATCCGTAAACACATCCAATATATGTTTCGAAATACGCTTGTCTCCTTTATTTTCATGGCCATGTGGCCACGCCCATCCCCATTGTTATTTGATAACTACAAAGAAAATGCTCTGCGCATCGCTTGCATTATAACTATACCATTAAATGCCTACATACGTCACCTCGATTTCTATAAAATTTTCGAACATAAAAATTTCAAATGAAACGTGAGGGTCTCAAAATGTCGAAGCGGATTGACCGAAACGGGTCCACAGCGGCCAACAACGCTTGGAACAAAAGTAAAGCTTCTGGTGACTTTTCAGCGGCTTGTGTGCAACGAACATACTTTTGTTACTTTCTTTGCTGTATCATTAGTTGCGACTGAATTTTGTACTAAATATATACTTTTTGTCTTATACATTATCTCATGTCGCATCAAAACGGACTTCAAGCAATTTATAGTATGAGAATACGAACAGTTTATTTGAATACGTTCTTGTACCTAGTAACATCTTTAGTTGATATAAACAAAAGCGAACCGGCAAGTAAAAAAGAGTACAGCTGTGGATTTAGGGACACGTGTACACGCGGGCAAGTAAGGCGATCGACGATAAGAGCTAACGATGGAAAAGACCAGGGAAGCACGAGTATGACGTGAAACCACTGTATAAACTTGCAGCATTTTCTCGGGTTACACAACGGCTGTCACGGTTGGCTTTCTCTTGCAATTAATAGTACAAAAAAAGCTAGTCAAATTTCAGAATTCGCATGCTTGAGCCGTTTAACCGGATGGGCTGCTTACCAGTCTGAAGTCAACCACTTCCATGGCTCATTCATGAATACATATACATATTTTGCACAAAAATAGATCGGCTTTCAAGAGTGTGCGCAGATATTCGCACTTCAATGGTCTTTGCTGTTTTTCTCTTCTCCTGTTTTCATGCAACAGCAACCTACTACAACTAATTACTACATCGCAGATTCTACATCACGGAACGGAGCTGTACCTTTCGACAGGCGTTACACTGCGGCAAAAGGTACATTAAAATGAATATAATTTCGTAACGGAGATATGGTTCGTAACACAATTTAAATAAAGCGATTTCCTTTTCTTCTCATTACTTAAATAACGACGAAGGAGGAAGATTGAACTCAGTTTCGTAAACACTCACGTCTTGTGTTTTTTGTGATTCTCCGACTAGAGCACCGACTGTGCAGCCGATGCAGACAACGTAGCAACACACTAAAATAGTGGCCTGCATTTTGGACGCACCAGGAGTCAACCAGCGACTGACACAGTTCGGTCAATGTTACTCCCTTATAGCACCGCTATCTGGAGAGGGCACACGGTGTTCGCCTCGCCCCACAAAAACGTGCTATCTAGACATCACCACGAAGCCATGAGCGAGAAGCTCAGCAATGAATTCGATAGTTCTGAAGCAACTTCTGGTGCAGTTGGTCAGATATACTTTCTGTTTGATATATGGGAATTGGTAAGCATTAGGTTTTTGTAGCTCCCATTCCAACCATTTGTCAGCTTTCCTAGTCTAATCCTGCCCAACAAAGAGTCGGCAGGAATCATATTTAGCGATTACTGACTTAGTTTCATAATTCATTTTCGAAGATTCAAAATATTTTCAGGAACCAAGTACCTACCCAAAATGTAAACGTTACTTTGATTAGATACTACCACTCACTTTTGAACTTCCTGCAACGTCTTAGGAGAACGATATTTAGGTTTTACATTGACGCAGAAATTTGATTTTTATGTTAAAAATACAACCTGCGCGTTTTCAAGCGTTTTTAGCTTGAATTATACTATTAACCGATCACTTCAAGTCAAAACGAGTCGACTATGTAAAATAGACAACTGGCAAGTATATTTGATTTAGATTATCCCTATTGGAACGTAATAATTTCATGGTTAGCTTTCTCAGTAAAATTGTTTCATATGGAAAACGAGTCAATGTTTGAAAAGTATCACGGCTACCATAATCTACCATTTCCAACTGCCCGAAGCCATATGTATTTCAACTTTTATTCGTAATTTTTTTTGGCTGGATCCCTCATATTTATGGAGTAATCACCTATTGCTATTTCTACAGCTACAGACACATAGGACATCTTCAAGCTCATATAACCAATTAACATGACGAAATTTTACTTTTGCCCATTTTGCTATGCGAGGGCACAGAACGATTTTTGGCTATATTCTATCCCTAGAATATCGACATGGTGCCATACATCTTCCTTAGATCTCAGCGGCTTCATCAAAACACACATGCATAACGATTGAACAACAGGCCTTCGAGAGGAGCTGGCAGACATCGAAACAACTGGGTAACAACTCTAAAATACTTTAACTTTTCTTTTGAGCGAGTTGGAAACCGAATTAAACTTTAATCATCTCTTGATTGCACCCGAATAGTACCCAGAGTGTTTACAGCCGTTATAAACATCTTTATATTTCGCCCATTTTGTTTTCTAGGTTTGTACTACCCAATGTTAGCCATGACTCGCTATTTTCGTCCATGGCCGTCAGTTCAAGGCAAAAACAATTCTTGCACAGTCTGTTAACCCCTTAGTTTCTGATTAGTTAGTTTCTGATTGTCCTACCTACAGCAAATGTGCACATATGTGATTTATACTAAATTTACTAATTAGACTAGATGGCAACTAATTGGAATAACCTTGTTCTAAATAATAATAATAATGTTCGAGCAGAGCCTTAAGAAATAGGGGGTAAACAACTGATGCTACGAGAAAAAAATGTTACCTTGTACTTGTAACATGCTTAACTGAGATTGAATAAATTTATTACTTGTTTAACCTTTTGAACCAGTCTATATTTTTGTAAGGTTTTTGGCCTTTAGGTACTATTTTACGCTACGAGATTAGGGAGTCCTGGTTTATGCCAGTAGGGAAATATAAAAGAACCGCACACTGTCAACAACTACCAGGTCAAGATTATGGAAGCTCCGGTGTTTCCGCGTTCCTTCTCAAAGACGTCCGTCTGCAAACAACATGTGGATGCAGAATTCTCCACGGCTAGCTGCATGGACTTTAATCTGAAATTTCGTTGCAGTGTCAAGAAATGCTTCTAAAAATGTTTAACCTTTCGTTTTCGGTTGTGTTCCTAGCTTTCCTTGGTGCGTATTAGGTGCTCCCCTTGCTAATACTGCTTAACTTAAATCCTCACTTTAAGCTAAGCTGTATACTTTAAAAACCAAAATTACACACACCTGTCGATTTAGGCATGGTTTTCGATTAAAGAGATATTCAAGTAAAGAATATATGCTATTCGGAATAGATTTAGATTCCATGTTTTCATCCGTAGGGGCCTTTCAGCGAGCGTATGTTATAGCTTCAGCACTTGGGCACGTTGCGAAAATCCAGCAAATACCGTTTCCATAACAGCTGCTTATTGTATACAATATTATATAAAGGCGGAGCAGACACTAGATTACAGTAAGCAACCGCTGCATTATAATTCTTATAAGTATATTCGATATATGAGTATACTTTGAGAAAAAATACAGTGTATATATATATATATATATATATATATACATACATATATATGTATATGTATATATAGAAAAAAACGATAATAATTTATATGCAGAAAGGTTGTGCAACTTGTGCTTATTAGTTGTATCTATTACAATATAATGGTGTTACAATATGTTCAATTACGGTAACTTGTCCGTTAACTCATCCAGTCTTTTCCACTGCTTAATACACTAAAGGTGCTCTAAAAAGTTCATTAAATACAATTTACGTACAAATATAGTTTGTAGTAACTTTTTTCTCACTAGATGATAGAATTATGCATAATTCTATCAACTAGAGAAAAAAAAGAGCACACATAGTGAATCTAAGCTTTAACACTGAACGCCTGCTTTCTCAAACAATCAGATATGGTGTAATGATTAATTAAAAGGAAATAAAATAGAGACTGTTATTATAAGTATAGGTATATAGCACTAAGTGAAGAAAGCGAAACAGAGCACCGATGATTAAGTGTATCAAACCCAGCACTGATGTTATAACGTATAGTTCTTGTATGGGTTGCATGTAGTCGTGTATGTCATGTATTTATCTATTACCTTTCAATTTATGCGCATTAAAAAATTAACTGTGTATGTATGGAAAAGGAGACGCAACCATACATATTATTCCCTTTTCATGCAATTATATTCAAAGGTTGCTTTTATATATCTACCGAGTCGCGATGTCATGTTTCCTTTGGATACGGTGATTAGAGATTGAATGAAGGCACTCATTTCTATATTTGTGGAATGTATTATTTTACACAAACGATTCAATTCAAAATTGTCTTTATTGAATTTAGAAGGCAGTGGTTATATTTAAACTAAACCAGCGTACTGCATAATTTTACTGTAGTGCCCGCTAGATGTGATATTGTACTCACAATTTATTTTTATAAAGATTATGCGTCGTAAAATTCTCAGAGCTTCATGAAGTTAACTACAGTCACCATTGCCCGAAAAATTTACTACAAATGATTACTGCAGTATACTGGTTACAGTTGTTTTTTAACACTGACCATTACATCAAATCGTGCTAATGAGTATCTATGTCGAACTCTGCATCATGCACTATTATGTGTAGCCAATTACTTAACTTCGCATCGTCATCGCCTTAAAATGTACAACATATTTTGTTAATCATTATCTGCTTACTATTCTTTAACAATACGAGTACTAGTATGATGTACTATATATTATAGTTTACCCTACGCTATTCAAAGCTATGGTTTTTTATCGTTAATCTAAAGCATAGCATTTGTGCTCTTCCCACCTTATAATAGCGCCAGTCGTTCACTATAGATACTATTAAAAATCCGACATCCGTTTGTTACTCTGTACACCAACCCTGTCGAAAAGAACATACTATTACAGTATGCACAGACCACACACTCACGAGCATCGCTGCTTGTAAGTGGACTGGGTAGTTTTTGTCTTCGTTATTTCAATGGTAAAGGCCCGACGACAGCGGGGTCAGTTAAGTCAAGATAGGACAGCTAATTTCTCTATATAGCGAGGATTAAGACATTTGAAAGTTAACGGCCTGGCTTTAGCGGGAAAGATGTTTCCTATGGAACAAAAAATGTTATTATATGCCAACGACGTCGAAGGGATATATGGAAGCTGCGTGGCTACGAGGTGATGTGCGCCTACTTTATGGCTTTCATAGTCATATCAAAAAGACTTCAGAACTGAAAGCTATGAGGCATTCCAGGCTGAGAGTCAGCCGAGGACATAACATTTATTCAAGCTAGTTTGGCCAATGCCTATTGGCCGTGTGAGAGCTGAACGATGTTGCAGCGTTTACGCCTTGCGCTATGTACGGGCCAAGCAAACAGTATGTGGTTACACCAATGTATGTCTCGCATTCACGGTTGTCTACTCCTACAGCTAGGAACTGAACAACAGACAAAACAAGTCAAGAAATCTGAGAAGCTCTGGGCTAGGCAAACACCTCTACCACAGTTTTTTCTGTCAGAGCTATGGGACACCCGTTTCTAGGTATCAATATTCAGGTAAATCCGGATGTGTTTATATCTGCTTTCATTTTTTTCCTTTCTACTAATTTAAATTACTAGCTGTCATGCGAGACATTGAAGGTTACATTGAGCCTGAAAGTATCTATCGATTTTAAGCGGAACATAATTTCCGAAGTTGTCATTCTACATGATGACATGCAAGAAACATGATGACTCATGGTTACGGTTGTTCAGTGAGAAGTTGCCGTCATCGCGCGTACGTGAATCACAAGCTTTGCTTCCCAAAAACCTGCCGATCAGGTTCTACTGAGGTGGATTGTCGTTTATTGCCGAACCTGCATTCCCATTTTTATCTTGATATTATCATTTACAGTCTACAGCCACGTACTTTGAAATGCTAGAGGAATTCTGACTCGATCTTAATAGAAGAAGTCTGATTCACGGATGTACGCAATGACACGTAATCTAGATGAAATCTGGATCAATATAGTCAGTTGAAGGTATTCCAGCAACAGCGTCATGCATTCCATGTACGCTACCATAACTAGTCAATTAATAGGGTTTTATTAGGAAACGTTTAAGAGATTTACAGCGGATTGGAACGCATACGTAATATTCTACACCGGTGATCTCGGCTTATTTCAATACAATTTCCGATCAATATGATTTTGGTCACTACAGAACATCGGTAGAAGTTGCATGTCTGCGGTCATAATGAAGCTTTCAAAACTATTTTGCAGAGCTAATAAAAATTATTAATTATAGGAAATAATTTTACATTTCCGCAAAATACAAGGTAGTACCACAGGATCATCATGTCAGTCCGTATTTCTGTATGTATGGCCCGGTGAGTGACGATGGCACCTCGAACTAAAACAAACAGTACTGTGCCATAATGTGGAGCGCTTGTCGAATAAAGTATTCAAATTACGTTGTTCATTAGGTATGTTTAGCTTTATAATCGCCTTCAAGTCACCTTATTTGTGGCCTTAAATCCTAGCGGTCGTCGTTAACCGCTAGTCCGCTCACATGCGCAATTCTCTTGCACAGGTTTACCTCTATTCACCATTTATATATGCATTTGTTAAAATAATGACAATAAGCTTCTCATTTATTTAGGGCACCCATGTAACGGGAATGCGCTTCTCGTACGAATAGATGCGACCAGCTGATAGAAAACCAAAAGTCAACGAACGTGTTTGACGCTTTGTTTAAAAAGCCGCGGCTTTTTTTCCAAACGAAGTGATCTGTAACTTAGCTGCGGTTACACTCGTTCAGAACTTCATAGGTGATGCTTAGTAAGCAAATTTTCTCAAATAAATTATGGGTTAGTAATTACAAGTAAATAATTCTGCGAGACTAGATATTTTATGCATTATGTAGTTAAGACTCCTGTGATTCTTCGAAGTGAGCATCGATGCTTTTCGCTTAAGAAGGCAATGGCATTTTAGATACGCATTCAACGTACACTTTCGAATTGTCATTCTGTAGGTATAGTTAGTGAGCTTGTGGCATTGTTAAGATAACATTAATAAGATGATAAAGAGGTCGAACAGGACAATCGGATCATTGTCGATCCATGATGATGCCATAAGTTGCGAGTAACGTAACATTTAAAAGTATTGTTTTAATTGTGCTCTATCACTTTTGATTGCTCTGCATTCGCACAGTGAGTTTGAACCGATTTACTAGACGAAGCTAAATCTCCGGCAAATATATGTCGATGAACATATATTCATCAAGTTTCTAGATGTACATAAATAAGAGCAGGCATGCATTCGGTTGGATTTAGGACTTTTTATCAAATTTTATTAACGGAAGTAAACGGTGGCTTGCGTTCAATTAGCCACGCGAATCAAGTGCGCTAAAATCTTTTGGGCGTTATAAAGCCACGAGTGAAAGCAAAAAAAATCTTGTTTCCTCAATGAGCTCGATAAGATCCAACATAAAAATGCATAATTCTATTCGCTCGATTTGGAACAAAGCATTTTAGCATATAAAAAATCGGCAGTACTCGATAAGAAAACCACAAAATAGGTGATGGATTGTCGATGACCCGTGGATGGATTAATACTAGCCCTACGCATAGATTTTTCCATTTTGTTATTACTGATACGTTTTTTTCAATCTATTGCTTGCTAATGATTAAGGATCATATCTCGTTGGAAACAATTTGTTACCATATTACAAAATTTTA